GCTCTGTAATACACAGAGAAAGTAGCTCCATACAAACTCTTACTTTTAAAACATCTACGATAGATGAACACCAGAGAATTTATGACTAAATAATTTATTTCAGCTATTTGCTAGAGAGATGTATAAAGGCTAACTCAGACAAGAGTTCTATTCTTCATCATTATTCTGCAACTTCTGTCAAATTTATAGAAATTAACGTCTGCAGCAGATTTGTTTTTCCTCTATCTGGTTCCTTCACTTCTTTCCTCCACACTGTCATGATCCTCATGAAAGTATGTCATGAAGCTATGTTTAACATCCAGCTCTATATTTCGGAGCACCCATGTGTGGTTCTTGAATTTTACACAGTACCATGCAGTTTATCTCAGTATATACCAAGTACACATGGAAGTTGTGGAGACCATACTGCAGAAAACCAAGTTTACGAAAATACAAAAATGCAGTTGGTTAAAGAAAAGTTGACTGGCTTTGGTGTATGAAGTAGCTAATTTGAAGATCAGTGGGAGAAAAAACCACATAAAGGAGTTAAGAGATACACATGGTAAGCAGGGCAACAATAAATCAGTCACAGGCAAGGTAAACGAATGTGAGAGTTTTTGAATAATTTTTTCAAACTGATATTTCAGAGAGTATTCATAAATGGTAGCGTACACAAAGCATCTCATGTATTCTACATTATCAACACAAGCTACCAAACTTGACCTTTAATGCACATCCCAATGGCGACGGTTAGAAAAGCTGCGATTACTTTTTTAATTTACAGATTCACTTTCCATATATTTGATTTCTCAAATATGTTAAAAGGCCTGAGGACACTGTGTTTGTGCTCCAACTAATCTTAAAGCAAATTATTAACTAAATATACTGCTTCTCAAACCTAAATTTGTATGCAATGAGTGCTCCTTCCCAACATTCTTGTTCAGAAGCCTTCAAGCTTGTGGCACAGTATGTTTTCTATAATCCCATTTCTTTTTTTAATCACATGCAACCCCTTTTTTGTATTCTATTGATGTTAAGAAGAATGAATGCAGCCCTTGCGCTATTAAAAACAAAAAGCTTCTTACTTCCAGGAATGCACTGGCAAGACTCCACAAGAACAAGATTTAACTTTTGAGCATGGCAGTGGGCATACAAGGCTAATGGGTGGTCCTCCAAAAAAACACACCACAAAAAAACCCTTAAACTTCATTCAAATGGCCACAGTACATCAATATTATCTTATTATCTTGCAAAACTCTCAGTGCACACGTAACAAGATGTGAGAAAATGTGGAAGTACTGTTCAGTTTTACAATTTGTCACTTACACCTTTATTTAACACATATGAGTTTCGCTTATGTGTGAAGGTGCCTCATGACTCATCAGCTGAAAATGAAGTTCAATTTGTTTTGTTTGTACGTGAGAAAGAAATCACAAAATTCTTTTTACAGAATAGGTCAGTCCATTCAGTCCAACTAGTTGCACCCCTAGACAAAATGGAATTTTTATTGTAAACACTTCGCTCAAGTGATCTAAATCCAGGTTGGCTGTACTAAAATTGCTTTTGCTAATTTTCCTGCCAAAACTTCAAAAAGCAATTATTCTAAATACAGTTATTTTTGTAGCCCCTTTTTTGTGTATCTACAAATCTTGCTTTGTTCTACCTTGTGAATGATGTCACCCTTTTATTTAGATGACTTAATATGCTGCTTAACATGTGATGTAGTTCAAGAGCAGCTATGGGAATAACATTGTCCTGTAGCTACTTTCTCCATTTGAAAACCCTCTTAAAGCTGTTATCCATCTGCATTTTACTCACCGTTTGTGAAACATCTATACAGAAAACAGCAAGCTCTCTGTTTCTTACAGCTACATTCCAGCCTACAAACCTATTTATACTCCAGGAGAATTAATGCCTACTTTTATTATTCTTTTTGTCAGAGGTTTCATTTTTTTTTTCCTCTTTCATTTTTTAAATCATAAGCTCTAAAATATAACATGGTGTGATAGCTTGAAAGGATTCCCCTCATCTCCTAGATGGGTGAAAAACACGTTTTATTAAAATTGCTGACCTAGGCTGTGACAACTCCATCTGTTTTTCTTGAAGATGCTCGGTGAAATTATCAGCATTCATGATAAGATGTCAGTTTCTAAAAAACTTGTTTTTTAAAAAAAATATATATATATGTATTTCTACCTTTGTCCATTCTCAGTCTCAAGTCTTACAATTCTTGAAAAAGCTTCTACATTTTTTTCTAGGAGACTTAAAGCGACGGAGGAAGTTTTACCAAATGCAGTCTCAGCAGCATTCCAAGTGGTCTTCAAAACATAAAATATGTTTAATTTGCTTTGTAACAAATCAGATTTATAACTCTTTCTATAGGCAATCCCATTTGGCAGTCTTTCTGAAGACCTTTCTGTAACACTGTGTCAAACACTGCATCAGAAATCCCTCTCAGAAGAGCCACAAAATGTTCAAGTGAAGCTTCTGTAGGATGTATCATAGGAGGTAACATGACTGTACAATGAAACAATGGTGGAACATTAAAAAAAATACAGTAATTTGACAGAGCTAGGATTGTGTATACATAAGAGTAAAATTAAACTTTTGTCTGAAAAAAAGTTGTTTTTTTTTTTTTTTTTGGTCTAAAAAAGTCATATTCCTCCTACTTGACAGCCAAAATACCTGCAGTAAACATGACTTGGTAATCTGTTCTGACAGGACTCATTAGCTACCGAATACCCACTGCCACTAATAGGTCCACTCATTTCAAATCAGTTTCTTAGACGAAAAAATGGATAAAATTAAGAAGACAGACGTGTTTAATTGTGGCTGAAAGTAAGGATAATAACAACTTATACTGACTACTTTTTCAGCTTTATTCAAATGTGCTTACAATGAAGGCCCAAAGTATTTATGTATAGCACGAGACTACTTAGAGAATACGAAAGAATGAAACTAAAATTTCTAAAACAAATAAATGCATTACAATACTGTATAATGACCTTAAAATAAATCCTCGGTTTTCACATAACAATGAAGATAAATGCCAACACTGAGGAACCTTCATAGAGATGATCCAAATGCTCAGACGTTGATTTTCTGATGTTATTTTCAGTGACTATATCGTTGAGTAACAGCAAAAAGAATTGCCCATGGAAAGAAACAGGAAAAAAACATATAGCTTCTACTAAAAGTCATTTGGCAAATTCACTATGAAGAAACTGCAAGAACAGAGCTAACTGCAATGAGAACTCTGTCTTGAAGAACGGAAAGGTGTCCTCGAACTGAGTAAGAAAGAAGGAATGCTCCAAAAGAAACAATAGATTTCTTCATCATGAAGCTTCCCCACAACAGAATACACAGCAATTTTAAGCCTCGTGCTACTGATAAGATGGTCTATTTTTTAGTCTATCAGAAGTTTAAAGAAATTGTTGAACTGCAACCAGAAGAGCAAAAAGAACCAGTCAAGTAGGTATCATCCAGTTCCTCCCTGACATTAAACAGGGTAGAGTGTGTCATAAAGGCCTACAGGTGACAAAGTATTGCTTTGCATTCTCTGAGAGTGAAGTGAGAAAAGGGTAATTCATATTTCAGGCTGCAGCATCATGTAGTACAGTCAGCTAAAGGACAATATAACAATAGCCAAGGCTGCTAAGACTGGACCAAGATTTGAGTGGTATGCTCCCTGATGTGCAGAACGGAGAGGATATATTGCATCTTGGCACCTGCTGTTAGTAGCTATTTCAGGGAATTTAAAATTTAATTAAGCTTCATATTAATCCATACAAGACCTATATAGTTCTTATAAATTACAGACTTTTAAGTTCTAAGAGATCATGCAGAAAAATTAACATTTCCATTTCCTTGCCTTTCTACATGATAGTTCATGGACAACCAACGCAAGTTGAAAAAAGGTGTCATTCTCTCACGTAGCTAGTTGTTAGGAAACATTTTATAATACATGCAATTTTTTTCCAGTGAAGTTTGAGGCCCCACGACTGTGCTGAGGAGATGCTACTGTGCAGATACTCAGTATGCCTATAGCTATAGTCCCAGAGCATCAGAGAGCGTTTTGGAGCCCCTCTTCCTACATAAGTGCCTTTAAAAAAGTAGTAACTTACAAGCAAAACGGGGGAAAAAAAAGTAGAAACGTAGGGTGGCATATGGCCAAACTTTTGACTTAATTTCACCACAGGTTGCTTTTTATTTACAAGCGCCTAATCCCCTCTCAAACTACACAATGGAGCAGCCATTGGCAAAGCAGGCAGATAAAATTGGCATGCCTCTGTATTGTTCTTGCTAATCTGAACCATTAACAGAAGGGTGAGAAGGCTAGTTTTGTCATTTAAACAGGCTTAAATCCTCTCTCCAAATGAGCTTTTGTCTACACAGAAGAATGCATCTAAGAAATTTAAGGGGTTTCAGTTAGTGTTGCATTCCCAAGTTGACTTGGCTACAGGATCACCAAACTGTTTATTTGGCCCCCATACTGTAAATGCAAGAATTATTTCCAGCTGTCAAAATCAAAAGGGGTTCAACCCGATTAAATTATTTCTCAGAGGTGAAACAGGATGAGATTATAAAGTGCTAAGAAGCAGTTATTTGAAGTCCTGGACTGCACCTGTGCAACTAAATCTCCATTTATACAGGTGCTTTTCAAATTGGATTTGAACCTTTAAATTCCCTGATTCATCTCCTGAAAAACCACAGAAGCTCAAATAACTAATGAAATTCAGAGACAGAAAGGCTTAAAATAGTTTCAAGCTGTGAAGTAAGGCCTAAGACTAACTACACTCTTTGATTCATTGTTGACGCGACATATCAAGCATAAACGTTAAGTTGCACAACCCAGATGCCAGAGGTCATAGGGTAGCAAGTTGCTAATTTTTTTTTTTTTTTTTTTTTAATAAACGTAGCACAGGAGAGGTCATCACCTGGCCCAAAACGAAGTGCAATACATATCCGAAAACTTGGGGAAAAGAATGTATTTGGTAGCATGGAGTGGTTTTCATTTTTACCTGGCACATCTTGCACAGATATTCAGTGTGACCTTTGCTTGAGGTTCAGCAGGATGAGCACTTCTACTTTGATTGAATTTGCTCCCAGAAGACATCAGACTTGTTACTCCTTCCATTCTTAGGTCATCAAGATCCTCTGCAACAAAACAGAAAGACTAGGTGAATAGAGTATTAATTTTTGTAACAATACTTTGTAATTCTGCTCATGCAAAATTTATTCAGGATCACTAAAAATTAGGAAAAAAATCACACAGTTACTTCAATAATATTAAGAAAAAAATACACTTGAGATGGTTTTTATTTTTATGTATCAGCATCTTGATACAAAGGGTTCCTTCAAAAATATTCAGTAGCATTTCCATTTCAGCCAGTGCCATCTATTCTTTCATCCTTATTTCTCCAGTTCATCTATAAAAACTAGCAAGCAAACACACTTGCCACTTGCTTTGTCAAGTGATGCTGACCAGTATCTCAATTTCATGTAGGGCTCTATACCAAAGAGAAAATTCACTTTTTTTGAGTATATGGCCCTTCTTTGAGTATTGGTATAGGCTGGTATATGGTCCTCCTCTGAGATTTTGTTGCTATTTTATTATTCAATACTTAGCAAAGAAACAGCATTGCTAAAACAAAAATGTTCCAAGTGAGCCCCAAATACTTGAAATAGATATGTATATCACACAAAACGGATCATTATGAGCACACTTACGCTCACCGCATCACTGTAATATATGAGCAACTAATTATCATTACTGGATTTTATACTACTGCAAAATCATTCCCACTTTGCAGGAAGAGAGCTGAGGCTCTTGGAAAACCATTTTTCCTAGATTACACTGGAATACTGTGGCCGAGTTAGAATGTAAACAAAGACTCCTGCTTAAAAGTCAGGACATCCCTAACATGACTTATTTTTTATAACATATAAAATAGACACATTATGTATACCTAGTCTATCCATAAAGCAAAACTTCAAGTTGTTTATAATTCCATTTGGTTCTAGCTGAAAAGTACACAAAGCACTAACTAGCTGATACTGAATGGGCACCAACCATTCCATGTTCTGACTGAAGCTTGTGGTTTGTGATATATAGAGCATGTTATCATCTAATTAAAATGTCTTTCAGATAATGTATGTACATACATTTTCATATACTTATATCTACAAAAGAAGCCAGACGTTAAAGGATCCAAGTGAAGCAGTAAGCACATAAAGGCAGACTGTCGACTGTGCAATCAGACAGTAAAAGGTCACAGAGAATTCTAAAATCAGAAGCTATATGGGTTCAACTGGAATTTAAATTACACAAGTAGTTATTACAAAGTGGAGTACCAGTCAGATTGGCAGGATAATGCCATGTTAATCATACTCTTTTTGGGAGACATCCATTTTAATAAGCAAAATCCATCTATTGTGGTGAGAATAAAAGCACATGAAGACTAAAAGTAAATGAATTTCTTGACACCAAAGTCCTGGAACTAGGTCTTCTTACCTGCAGAATTTTATTTCAGTGCTTAAGAATACCCTCCTTTCACCTTGTCTTAATGATATATATAGACAGTTTCAGTAATTGTCTCTTCAGTTTACACCATTTCCACAACTCTTCCTTTAAATGTTACCTGTAGTTAATATACAAACTAATTCAAAGGACTTGGAAGGATATATGATAAAGAGTTATAAAATCAATCACTCATGAGACATTTCAGAGAAGGCATTACGTATCTGGAACATACTATGTATTAAAATAAATGATGTTAAATTGTTTTAAAGAAGTGTGAAAAGTTCTATATTTTTTAATAGATGTAAACCACGGGATGGATTACAGTTTAAATGAAACTGAAGCATATGCCTTATTTTTTCCCCCAGAACAGATGTGATTTCATAAAATGTGGGTTTTCAGCTGTTCCCTGCTTGATTAATAACTAACAATGTTTCAGTGAAGTAGTGACGTAGGCTGACCTCTATTATACCTTTTTACATTTGACTCTGTATGTTAAAAACATGCATGTTCCCTGTTTTTGGTCAACTCTTCTCTCAAGAGAAAAGCAAGTGAATTTTTGAATGTGCAAGAAACTTGGATTTCAGATGTACCTATATCTGTCATTAACAGACAAGTTGGCAGAACATTACGTGCCGGTAATAAATCAATCTTAGCAAAAAAAGATTCATTTGAGAAGTCAATTCAGTTACAGAGCTGGGAACACTAAATCTTTTCCATTGTATTCTTTACTAGACCAACTAGTGATGATAGAGCTGACCAGTTCAGTGATTTTATTGAGGAGCAATGAGATAATTCACTGAGAAAGAGAGAAAAAAAGCTAAGTTGATGACCACGTCTGTGACAGAGGACAGGAATACTGTTAAACCTCTCAAATCTTTAGAAAATTGGTACCTATATTTTTACAGTGATAGGCCAGAAGTTCAAGTAAATGAAAGAGAGAATAAGATAAAGATAGAATCACACTTGTGCTAATAAAAATGTGTTGTTTTAATGCATGATGGTGCACTGTATTTCTTCCATTTACTGTTATTCCTATGTATACTCATCCTATAAAAATTTTAATTAAGGATGTCCCTATGTGGTTAAAAAAACCCAGCAAACCAACAACCAAAAAAGCACCTACACAGCTTCATGTATCGCCACAACAATACAAAAAAAAAATACTTGAAAGTGAGATAAGAATCACAAGTGTAATGAAGCACATCAACAGATGTTTCCCATATTATTAATAATGCTGCACAAAGCTAAATTCTTTGTGAATTTTTATAGACAAGTTCCATAACTAAAAAGGTATCTATTTCAGCTAAAAAAGAACATATCCTAGTAATCAGTTGACTGTTTTTGAAGAGGATGTTGTTTACAATTACTTATGTCCTGTTAAGAAGAGGAGGAGGAACTGGGGACAGAGAAAGGGGCACTGATATTCTAGACTATCAAATATTCTAGAATAATATTCTTGAATCTGTGCAAGATTGTTTAATGTCTCGGGATGAGGTGGTGTGAAAATATTTTGCTTCTGAAAGGATTCTGAAAGACTCTCACACCATTCACAGTCAGGCCAGAGCTGCTCTTATGAAAGACTTCTCCTAAATACGTGAAAGTTCACTTCCAAAGGAGGTTCACATAGTCAGGATCTGTTCTACATTTTTTGATATGATATTATCATTTTTTGCCTCTTCTCTCCATTGCAAAGTGTAATGTCCCACCTTCTTGAATTAGTATTCAAGAAGGTGCAAAGCTGGAAAAAGTCTAGGTTCGTCTTTACAGAGATTACGATTGCTCAGAGTTTTTCTGTTCATTCTAATGCTAAGAAAGCCAATAAATATTTTCATGTGGGAGTAAACATAATGAATCTTAATTTATGTTTTTGCAGGTCCCCAGTCAATTCTGATGCACCATTAAAATAACAGCTCTCTCTCTCTGAAGCTGTGAATTTCTGAAGGCAGTGTTATTCCATCAGGACAGATATTGATGTATTGCCTGTAGATAGCATTGATTTGTCATGGACTGTTGACTAAGCACAGACCCAATATGCTCTGGTACTCTCATAAAAAAGTTAAGTAAAATAAAAAGCCTACTACTTATAGAAGTTCTGCTTATATTCTAGGCTTTTCTGCTGCTCTGTATGTCATAGTTGTATGTTTCTTATTATGCTAACCACTCATCCCTCCTTTAGGTAACTTTTCTTACCAACATCAACAGAGCACCCCAAAATCCTACCTGAATTCCAAATGAATTACTGGAACATTCAGGATTTAAGCTTCAAGACAGAAAGGAACCATTAATCTATAAGGCCTTATACTCCACTCCTGAAACTTAATCATTTACTTCAACCAAAGCAAAACTGGAGTTATCTTTCACAATACACTAGATACAGGACATTTCACTTCTTTTTCTCTTATTTTTCTATGACTTTGAGGTTATGAAGCTGACAACACAGTTTATTCTAGTATGTTTTTTCCGTTAACACCTTCAAAATATCAAATTTTCACCCAATACAGACCTCTGGCATTGACCGTTGATGCAAAGATTGTCTTAAGTTGATTCATCAAGAGACTTTCACTCCTACAAGCCATTTTAGATTCCTGAGACCAATGTTCTGAAGATAACATACTCTGTAAGCATCTAAAGATGACAATAAATTTTCCTGGTGTTTGTGCTTTCACTGTCAGATGCATATTAAAAAAAAGTTGAAGCCTGATTTCGCACATCCCTGAACTTGCATCTCCACCTCTACGTGTATTATTTCCAGTTCAGTAGAATTCTACCCCACAGTCAAAAAAACAATCAAAATCAACCTGGGGCTGTAGTAACAAGTAGCACTTTTGCATACACTTAGAAAATGGATTTGCAATTAAAGTTCTGTTTTAATCAGCAAGAAATCTTTCTTCAATTTCTCCATATTTCTATTTTAGAATTAACAAAGAAGGTAGCCTTTTCCAATTAAGTTGTTCTATTTTCATCAGAGCATACTTCACTATGTTAGACAACTGCACAAAGAACTGGCCTGCTGACTCCATCTCCTGCTTATTCTCCCTTTATCCACAGGGAAGAGAATTTGTTTACCACAGAAAACTGCTGGCAGGCCAGATTGAAGCAATACTGTCGGAGGGGATGAGAAGATCTTTAGAATCAGGAGTCCAGACTTCAGCCCCTCAAGCAATATCAGGTAAATGAACTTGAGAGAGCAAATCTCCTGTCTCCCAATGGCCCAAACCACTGACTGGGTTGCAACATTATAGTCTCACTTGATTTAAATGACAAAGTCCATAACCACAGTTGAAAAGAACTGGCTTGTTGCTCACTTACACCCTACTGAGCATCCAAGGCAAAACAATGTAGGAGCACAAATAACAGCTGCAAATAGCCAACTCCTACTTAAGTAACACTGACTACACAGACGTGGTTGCTCCACACCAATAGTGATCTGCAATGTGCTGTCATCTAGGTAGTTTCATTCACTGCTTTGTTTTTACAATAAAAGGAATCTAGCATTAGAATATCTTCATTATTTTGATGTTTCCAATAAAAGAAAAATTAGAATATTTCACTTATGCCATATTCACATATTTCACATAATGCATTACTGCAACTGTAATATCTATTGTACAATAGTACTTTTGCTATAATAACA